ATTCCCCCCCCCCCCCCCGCTTGTTACATGCCCTGAACAGGGTTCCTTTTCTTGCAGTTCTTATTATTTGATCCAGTTGTCTCTCCTTTGTGAACGCATAGTAGATATCTCTTTTTCGGAAGTTATGTTCTGTGTTCAGAAATATTGTTAGTCCTTGAGACCATATTTTGAACTTTGTTTTGACAGGCCTATTTCTATCTTGTTTCTCACAGCTAAGAATAGTGGTCTCATGGCTTCCTAATAGGTTTTTTTTTTTTTCTGTTACTGTTCTTGACCTATAAGGCCTTTTGATCAAAGTGATTTTTTATTATGAGCTGCCTAATTTATAAGGACATTGTTATTCATTTGCTGTTGAGGTTTTCTGAAATTCTGCTGTCCACTGGCAGATATTACCAATTTCCTGTAGAGTTCCTGGTATTGGACTGATGCCTAATATGGCTGACTGCTCTCTACTTTTGCTGGCCTGGGAAGACTCATCTTTTCCCTTTCCTTAAATTGGCCACATTGGGACTGGAATCTAGTCTGCCTCTAAATGACCTGAAAACAGAGATGATGATAACGGTAGAAGCAAGGTTCTTACCATCAGCATCTTCACCAACAAAGCTGTGCTAGGCTCTATGGAGGCCAAGATGGATGTATTTAAAATATATGTTTCTATTTTATAAGAAAAATATCCTTTTTTGCTTATTCTCAAGCAGAAAGCTAGTTATGTGCTTTGCAAATGGAAGTAATATAGGTGGCTGTGTAAACTAAGTTCATTATATACAAGGCCTAACATGAACTAACTGCATTATTAGAATCAGGTATTTTTACAATGAATTTTGTCAGGCCACTTATTTTATTGGGTGGTCATCTAGAAAAACTTGCCTATCAAGCAAACCCACCTAATGTATTACAGAATTGCTGGGATTTTGCAGCGCACATAAATAAATTATACTAAATAAAAAAATACTGACTCTGTTTTGGTTGCTTTTCTTCTTGGCAACTGATGGACCCAATGGGGTTCCAGAGGGAGCTTGGGGTTATACCTGAGGATCTGCTACACAGTCCAATGGAGGCCCTGGCCGCAACCTGGAATAGGAAGGTGGCCGAGGCCTTGGACAAGTTCGCGCCTGTGCAACCTCTCTTGATCCATCGAGCCCGATGCTCCCCGTGGTTTACGGAGGAGTTGAGGGTTATGAAAAGGATTAAGAGACATCTAGAGCACCGCTGGAGGAAAACAAGGACTGAATCTGACCGAACACAGGCTAGAGCCACTATTAAGGCCTACCTTATTGCAGTAAGAGTGGCAAAATGTCTACATTTCTCCACTCTTATTGCATCTGCAGAGTACCGCCCAGCGGCCCAGTTTAAGATCACTCAATCTCTTTTGGGAAAGGTGGGCTGCGCAGAGGAGTTTTCTGGCATCTGGTGGATAAAATCACTTGGATACGTTCCCAGTTGGATGCCAAGCATTGAGCAAGGCCTGTGGAGATGCTGGGGCTATGTACTTACCCTGTTATCTGGGAACAGTTTGACCCTGTTGGATCTGAGGAAGTGGACAGGGTCCTCTGGCTGTAAATGCCACCATCTGTCAATTAGATCCATGCCCCTCATTGCTGGTTAAGGCAACTCAGGAGGTGACATGTGGGTGGGTCCAGGCAATGGTGAATTCATCCTTGAGAGAGGGAGTGTTTCCAGTGGCCTTTAAAGAGGCACTGGTGCACCCCCTCCTCAAGAAACCATCACTGGATCCCACTGTACTGGACAATTTTCATCCAGTCTCCCACCTTCCCTTTTTAGGAAGGTGGTCGAGAAGGTGGTGGCGTTGCAGCTCCAGAGGATCCTGGATGAAACGGATTATCTGGACCCTTTCCAGTTGGGTTTCAGGCCTGGATTTGGGACTGAAACAGAATTGGTCACACTCTTGGATGATCTCTGGTGGGAGCGGGATGGGGGTAATGCATCCATCCTTGCTCTTCTTGACCTCTCAGCGGCTTTCGATACCATTGACCATGGGTATCCTTTTGGGTCGGCTTGGGGAGTTGGGGGTGGGTGGCACAGTTTTGTGCTGGTTCGCCTCCTCCCTCCAAGGCTGGTCCCAATCGGGGTTGATAGGGAGCGAGAGGTCCAGCCCACGGCCCCTCCTTTGTTGGGTGCCGCAGGGTTTG